CCATACACATTCTTCCTCCATTTCCCCTCAGAAAAGGGCAGACATCCCATCAATCAAACATGGCATGATGTGCTACAATAAGACCAAACATATACTATCATATCAAGGCTGGATGAGGCAGTCCAGCAGGAGGAAAAGAGTCCACAAGTAGTAAAAAATGGTCAGCAACCACCCCACTCCCATTCTTGGGAATACCAAAAGGCACAAATCTAATCAACCATAACATATAAGCAGAGGACCTTGGTCAGACCCCTACAGGCTCCCTGATCTCTGAGAGTTCCCATGAATCCCAGTCAATTGATTCTGTGGGTTGTGTGTGTTTACATCATGTTCCTTACCACTCAGGTTCCTGAAAACCCTCTTCCCCTTCCTCCACAGGACTCCCTGAGCTCTGCTCAATGCTTGGCTCTGGGACTCTTCATCTGCATCCATCAGTTCCTGGGTGATGTCTCTATGGTCTCTTTGATGAGGATTCTGCTAGGCCCTGGTTCCAGAACACTCTGCAGACAGGAAAAACTGTGGGTCAAAGATATGGGGCTGAATTGGTGTCCCAATCCCTCCACCTGAGGCCTTGCCTGGTTACAGAATATGGCCACCAGTTCAGACTCCATATTCCCCATTACTAGGAGTCCCTGCTAGGGTTACTGCTGTAGATTACACGGATTTTCCATTGCATGAGTTTTCCACCTTTCAGTGGAGGGACCCTGAAATGCCTTCCAATTTTAATTGTTTCTCCCTGTATTTTGTCCTTCCTCCAAGTTGATCCCTCCTCTTCCCAATCCTCCATTTATAGCTTCCCCCAAATCTATTCTATTTCCCTCTTCCTAGGGAGATCTTTGCATTCCCCTTAAGACCTTCTTATTACTTGGTCTCTCTGGGTCTGTGGATTGTAGCATGATTATTTTTTTCTTTGCAACAAATATCCACTTATAAGTGAGTACATACCATGTTTTTTATTCTGATTCTGGGCTATCTCACTCAGAATAATTTTTTTAATGTTCTGTTCATTTGTCTGGAAATTTCATGATGTCATTGTTTTTAACAGCTGAGTAATACTCCTTTGTGTAAATATACCACATTTTTTATCCATTCTTCACTTGAGGGCCATCTAGATTTTTTGAGGTTCTGGTTATTAATGAATAAAGTTGCTATGAACATAGCTGTATAAGTATCATTGTGATATGATGGGGTATCCATTGATAATATTCCCAAAAGTGGTATATCTGGGTCTTGGGTTAGATTGATTCCCAAGTTTCTGAGAAACTGCCATATAGATTTCCAAAATGGCTGTACAAGCTTGCACTTCCACCAGCAAATGAGGAATATTTTTCTTGCTCCACATCCTTGACAGGATGAGCTGTCACTTGTGGTTTTGATATCTATTTTGAGAGGTATAAGACGGAATCTCAGAGATGTTTTGATTTGCATTTCCCTGATGGTTAAGGATGTTGAACATTTCTTTAAGTGATTCTCAGCAATTTGAGATTCTTCTGTTGAGAATTCTCTGTTTAGAGCTATACTCCATTTTTAATTGGATTTTTTTGGTTTGCTAATGTCTAGTTCCTTGAGTTCTTTTTATATTTTGAACATTAGCTCTCTGTCAAATGTGGAGATGGTGAAAATCTTTTCCTATCCTGTTGGCTTCCTTTTTGTCTGATTGAGAATGTCCTTTGCTCTACAAAAGCCTTTAAGATTCTTGTGGACTAATTTGTGCATCTTAGTGCCTGCAAAATTGGTGATTTGTTCAGGAAGTTGTCTCCTGCACCAATGCGTTCAAGGCTGTTGCCCACTTTCTCTTCTGTCATGCTCAGTGTATCTAGATTCATGTTAAGGTCTTTGATCCATTTGGACCAGATTTTTGTACATGACAATATATATATAGATCTATTTGCCTTCTACATATCAACATCCAGTCTGCGAGCACCATTTTTTGAAGATGTTTTCTTTTTTTGATTGTATATTTCTGGCTTCCTTATCAAGAATCTATAGTCCATAACTGTATGGATATATATCTGGGTTTTCAATTTGATTCCATTGGTCAATGTGCTTGTTTTTATGCCAATACAATGAGGAAGTTTTTTATTTTTATTTATTTTTTATTCCTGAATCTCTGTAGTATAGCTTGAGATCTGGGAGCAGATACCTTGAGTTCTTTCATTTTGTAGGATTATTTTAGCTATCTTGAATGTTTTTGTTGAGTATTGCACTTTAAAGATCTGTAAAGAATTGTGTTGGAATTTTGATGTATATTGTGTTGAATCTGTAGTTTGCTTTTAGTAGGATGGCCATTTTTTTCTATGCTAAGTCTACAGATGCATGAGCATAGGAGATCTATCTTCTGATATCTTCTTCAATTTCCTTCTTCAAAAACTTGAAGTTTTTTTTATCATACATATCTTTCACTTGTTTGACTAAAGTTACTCCAAGATATTTTATATTTATTTGTGGCTACTGTGAAGGGTGTTGTTTACCTGGTTTCTTTCTCAGTGTGTTTATCATTTGTATAAAGGAGGGCTGCTGATTTTTTTTACTTAATTTTGTATCCCACCACATTACTAAAGATGTTTATCAGCTGTAGGAGTTCCCTGGTAAAATTTTTGGGGTCATTTATGTATATAATCATATCATCTGCAAATAGCAAAAAGCTTGACTTCTTTTCCAATTTGTATCCCCTCGATCTCCTTCTGTTATCTTACTGCTCTAGCTAGTACTTCAAAAACTACATTGAATAGGTATGGAAAGAGTGGACAACCATGTCTTGTTCCTGATTATATATCTGATCTTGATTTAACTTTGGTAATTGGTATCTATCAAGAAAATTATCCATTTCTTTCTGATTTCCCAGTTGAGTGACATACAGGTTTTTGGAGTATGGTCTAATGATATTTAGATTTCCTCAGTGTCTGTTGCTATATCTCTCTTCATTTCTGAGTTTGTTAAATTAGATATCCTCTCTCTGCCTTTTGGTTACTTTGCATAAGGGTTTGTCTATCTTATTGATTTTTCTCAAATAACCAACTCTCTTTTTTTCATTGATTCTTCATATTATTCTTTGTTTTTATTTTATTGATTTCAGCTCAGAGTTTGATTATTTCCTGCCTTCTACTTCTCTTGGTTGTGTTGGCTTCTTTTGTTCTAGAGCTTTCAGGTGTGCTGTTGAGTTGCTAGGGTGAAATCTCTGAAATTTCTTTATGAAAGCACATATTTTATTGAATTCTAGGAAGTCTTTATTATCTTTATTTCTACCTTCACATAGTAGTCAAAAACTAAATTTATTTCTAAAAATAAACATATAACAGACCTGCCTGTGGATGTATCCATGACTTACAAAGAATCAATATCAGCATGCAGTTTTTCTCTCAAACTGACATTAAACTCACTACGTAGCCCAGGGAGGAATAAAACATGTTTTCTCTGCATTGGTCTTGCAATTGGCTGAGATTACCAGACAGTGTTTTCCACTTGTGACTTCTTTCTGTATCATTTATATCTTTATTCCTAATTTGGGATATGTTACTATTCTCCTTGTATATTCTCAATATGATGATGAGTTTATGGATTTAGAAAAGGTTTTGATATATTTATTTGTGATTCTGTACAGGAAGTTTTAATGAACCAAGGCTTTCTAAGAGGCCTTTACTAGAAGACCAGACTTGTAGGCCAGTCTGACACTTAGACCAGGGTCTCCCAGGAACTGAAGTTTCAGCTTCTCGGGACAGAACTCTGCTTCCCAGGCAATGGTTATCCTTCTAAGGAATCTGTTTGAAATTTCTCAAGTTCTCTTTTCAAACATTGTCTGACTTGCCTTTCTGCTAACCTTGGCCATTTGCCCACTGCAAACAGCATATGAGGTAGTGTGCTTCTTAATAAGTTTGCCTGACATGAGACAATGACTTCTGCAAGACCTTCTGATTCAACTACTTCTTTCGTCAACTTTATTTCTTATCCCTGGTTTTCTCAGTCACTGTTTGGGACCTTATTCGTCTATTTCAGACCAGTTCTGATTTTTTCCAAATTCATAGTACAATATGCTACAGATATTTCATCATTCGATTTACAGCTTTATTGAAGTATGATTTACAATATGATATATATACACAGACACACACATGTATATTCAGAGAAATTTTTTTTCAAACTTTGTATATACATATTCACATGTACATGAAATAACAATTAATGAAAAAGGTCTTGAATTTGAAAGAAAATCAAAAAACAAAGAAAAGCACAAAAACAAAAACAGAGACTTCCTTCACCTACTTTTTTCCTACTTTCTTCCATTTTATCCATTGAGTAATGACAAAGTATTTGCTTTATTTATAAAATGCAGGGATATTACTTATCCTGATTACATAATCAGTTGAGTTCCCAAAGTTACCACATTCTGTGTGATATATCTGCAAAATGGCTGTACACCTGTGACAGATTCTATTTTCTCATCTCCCTGAGTCCTACCTCCCCCACAGAATAGAGAGTCTGTATCTCCTTGGATCTGGACAGGTAAACACCAGAGTAGTGTCTCAAGTGGGACTTTTCGGCCTGAAAGATGCAAGGTTCAGCTGCCTTTGTCTTGGAGTCATGATGTGCAGCTGGGCATAGGTCACATCACAGGGCTCCTTGGATGCAGCAGCCTGGAATGGGAGAAGGTAGAGTAAGGTCTGTGCTCAGCACTGGGGCCTGGAGAACTGGAGAGGTCAGGACCCACCTGATGGTCTCTCACTTTGTCTTCTTTTGCCTGCCTGTTGTTTGAGTCCAGCGGTTCCTTTGGCATGAGGAAAGGAGAGGTGGGCTCTGCCCTTCTGAGTCTGGAGGGTTTCACTTGGGCATACAAATCTTTGGGGTGATTTTCCTCATGTTGGTTCTGCAAAAAAAAGAAAACAAAGCACAGGGAGTATATACTGATGCCCCAGAGGCTCTACTCCCACTTGATTTCTGTGGGGTGGAAAAGTAATACTTTAGACATCTAAGTCAAACCATGTCATTGCTGATGGGGTCTCTGGAGTTTCCTAAGACCTCTGAGTGCCTGGCAGTTTCTTCCTGAACAGTTGACATATTATCCACACAAGGTGACCTCACTCCATGGGCTCCATCTTTTAGAAAGAGAATGTTCCTTCCCACATAACACCTGTACTTGCCATGTCCTGCCTAGATGTGCCAGTCCATCATGTTTCTAGTATCCTCTCCACTCAGATTTCTCTTCAGAAGCCTATTTTCATCCCTTCCTTTAAATTCACATTGATGATGTTCCCCCACACAACCACAAGTAATTTCCTCTAATTCATTTCTCTCAAACACTTTGCAAGGCTCAGTCTCTGTGTTGTCTTCAACATATTCCATCCTATAGCTTGTCCCAGTGTGGGGGGGAATTATGTTCTCTCTGTGTCTGCTTCTCCCACAGGAGGCATGGTCAACAGTGAGATCTAGGAAATTGGAAGAGGAGTCAAGCAGCAGATGGGTGGCTTTGCAAATATGAGTGACTGAGTTAGATACCCAGTGCCCACATTTTAAAAATAGCCAAGCAAGAATGCA